CACTCCCCCCCACACCCAAGAGATGAATCTCCTTTGCGCTGAGAATTTGGTGTCTGGGTGTGTCCTGTATGGACTCTGGATCACCTGGAACCACCGTGTTGCTTTTCTCTTACACCCCTAATGCACACACAGTCTTTGGCTTCCTCCAATTGCCCTCTCTTCATTGTGGACAGTGATTTCAAGTGTTTATCCAAGAATATCCCTAAATTTTCCTTCTCAAAGACCAAGATTCCCACTCCTTTGAACCCTCTCTTCCAGACCTTGACACATTTGTGCCATAATCTCAAGACTATGGGAATCAGGTGGCAATAGTAGTTTAGTTGGGAACAGGTATTAAATACATAAAAATTATTTTTTTTTTACATGACTAGTGGGCCAAATGTTTGCAAACTAAACCTAGCCTATCCCCAGCTTTTAACTCTGGCAAGACTAGCAAAAAAGCACTCGTTCTGTCAGCAGAGGCTCCATTTAGCACATTCGTGATTTACTGCAACACACTCCATCTTTTGAGAGCAAAGGAACCTTTTTCCTGTTTTTGTGCATCATAAAGCCTTTTGTTTTGAAGGTTATAGCAGTTTTTGGAGAATTCTTTGAGGGAACAGAACAGAACATAGAGCCTTTTTACTTTAAAAGGGCCGTGGCTAGTGCTAAAGAGATGGCAGAGTGCAGGGACATAAGAGCATTTGCTGCTCATGTTCTGGGCACCTACTGTCAGGAGGCTCTTAACGGCCAGTTCCAAGGGACACAAGCCCTCTTCTAGCCTCTGGGGACACCCACGTACATATAAAAATAAAACAATAAAACTCCCTGAAACTGCCATAGTAGTTTAGGACACAAATCTCAATGTTGTCATCTGAGAAAACATAAAACTGACTTGCGACCTTTGGTGTATTCGTTTCCTGTGAGGGTTACAAGTAAAAACCAGAAACGGATTGCTCATGCCGTCTAGAATTCGTTGTGGCGCACGCCTTTAAACCCAACACTCGGGAGGCAAAAGACAGGTGTATCTCTGAAGCCAGCCTGGTATATATACATAGCAAGTTCCAAGGCAACGAGGTGACAGTGGAACCTGTCTCAAAATACACAACAAAAAAGAATTGGTGTGGCCGATAGAGAAACGTATGGAGACACGCTGGGAGGGAACTTGAGCTGGGTGGAAGGATACTCAGCAAGGTGAGTTCTCCATGAGGACAAAGGTGGAAACTGCGACCAAAAAACAAAACAAAACAAAAAAGAACTTGAAGAAACGGAAACGACTGTCAGTTCCTCCTGGAGTTGCATCCGGGGCGGGACTTTGCGCCATCGACTTGCTGGGGCAGCCGGAACCCTCGCAACACAGCCCTGTAGGTTTCCAGGCGGCGCTCAGAAGCAACTTCCGGCTGCTCCGGAAGTTGTGGAGTTGTTTCCGGGGCGGTCGGAGGAGTGGATCTCTGATGGGTCGTAGCCGTAGCCGCTCCCCGCGGAGGGGTGAGTCCAGAATGGGTCTAGCGGCTCGGGGCGGTGACAGGCACTACTACCTGCGTCCTCAGCCCAGTGGGACCGAGAGAGTGCGGGACAGGGCCTGGCGGGTGTCTGCGGTGCTCAGCCCCGGCCCTCAAATTAGAGTTCCCCGGTCCTTCGCCTAGCCTCTGGGTGACCGTGCTTAAATCAACCCACCTTTCTTTTAGTTCAGTTCCCTTAGTCATCGTGGGTTACTTTTGTTTGTTTTGTTTGTTTGTTTGCTTTTCGAGACAGGATTTCTCTGTGGCTTTGGAGGCTGACCTGGAACCTTGTAGACCAGGCTGGTCTCGAACTCATTGAGATCCGCCTGCCTCTGCCTCCCGAGTGCTGGGATTAAAGGCGTGCACCACCAACGCCTGGCCATCCTGGGTAACCTTGACGAGTTGATATGAGAATTGGCGTCACCCTTCATAACATTCAGGATGAGATTGCCCTGGCTCACAAATGCTTACTAAATGTTAGTGCCCTGCCCAGGTCATTAGTCGGAAGTGTTTAGAATTTGATACCGCTGTAGCCTAATGTCTTCTGTACCCCAGCCCCGGGTACAGAAGTGTAGAAAACTCAGAGAGTTTCTGTACCCTTTGCCATGTTAAGGGATTAGAATTGGAATCTGTAGATGTTTAGAACAAAGCTCATCGTCAACTGGTGAATCTCGATTTTCTTACTAGACGATCGGGACCTCAAGCAAATTGAGCCCTTGAGTGCTGTAAATTTACAATAGACAGTGGATTTCCTTTTGGGGGAAAGTAACGATTTTGTAGCATTGTCCTTTACTTTGACCAATATGCTACTTAGTACAAGAAATGGCAGGTTGAACCCTCATACACACCATATTTTCAAAACACAAAACTTTGTATTAAAAATATTCATCAGATAATATAATTGAATATTAAGTTATTGTTACTTTAAACATCCCACCTTGCCTGACTTTAAAGTAAATTAGGTGAAATTATGTGTTGAAGTGTTAGTAGTTTGGATATATTGGGACAAAAACTGTTAATATGATTTTTGGTCTGTTTTTACTGTGTGTAACTCAGTGCCTCTTACATGCAAAGCAAGTGCTCTATTCCTGAGCAACACCCCTACCTTTTTTTTTTTTTTCCCATACAGGACCTTATGTAGCACAGGTTGGTCTTCAACCATGATCTTTCTGCCTCCACTTCCCCAGTCCTGGTGTGACAAGTGTGTTTTACTATGCCCAGGAATTACTTTTTGTTTGTTGGTTTTTTATGACAGAGTTTCTCTGTTGTATAGCTGTGGCTACTCTGGAACTGACATTGAACTCACAGAGATCTGCCTGCCAGTTCCTTCTGAATACTGGGCCATCGTGCCCAGCTGACGACGACTTCTTCTTCTTCTTCTTCTTCTTCTTCTTCTTCTTCTTCTTCTTCTTCTTCTTCTTCTTCTTCTTCTTCTTTATTTTTGATTGTGATATTAGAAGTAGCTTGCATTATTATTTCAATAGGACAACTCTAGGTGTTTAAAATAACTCCAGCTATTTTGGTGTTTATATTAGAGCGTAGGCGATCCCGGTCCACATCCCGGGATCGAGAAAGAAGGCGCCGAGAAAGGTCCAGGTCCCGGGAGAGGGATAGGAGAAGGAGCCGCTCAAGATCCCCACACCGAAGACGCTCCAGGTGAGTGTAGAGAACAAACCAGAAGCTTCGGTACAAAGCTGCAGAGAATAAAGAGCCTGGAAGATAGCCTTAACTTTGCTCTTATAACTTAGTTGGGGACTTCTGGTTTCATGAAATAACAGAGTTTAATCACACATTCTAAAGCTAACATTACTCTTGGCAAATGGTTTAATTATACTGCTTAAGAGAGTAGTCTTTAAAAGATGTTTATCTTGCTAGGCAGCCATGGCGCACACCTTTAATCCCAGCACTCAGGCGACAGAGGTAGGTGGATCTCTGTGAGTTTGAGATCAGCCTGGTTTACAAGAGATAGTTCTAGGACAGCCTCTAAAGCCACAGAGAAACCCTGTCTTGAAAAACCAAAAAAAAAAAAAAAAATTATCTTACTTTTATTTCCTATGTATGGGTTTTTTGCCTTCTTGTGTGTTCAGTTCCCCTGAAGCAAGTTCCAGATAGTTGTGAGCTATAGGGTAGGTGCTGAAAGCCATCTATCTCCTCTGGAAGAGCAGCTAGGGTTCTTAACCACTGAGCCATCTCTCCAGCCCAAGAGAGTTGTCTTGAAGAGCAACGAAGAATAATGAATGGAAACTATGCAGCATGGTGCATGGTAAAGAGTAAGAAATTTGAATATGTAATCAAGAACAAGTGACCTTAGCGCGGTGGTAGAAATGGACTCTTCAAATAGTTGCTTAGAAACAATTTTTTTTTTCCATTGTGTTTGAAGGGGGTGTGTGGGTGGGCCTGTGGATATCAGAGGACAACTTGCAAGTCACTTTCCTCCATCCACTGCTTGGGTCCTTGGAGTCAGCATAGGTTGTCAAGCACTGTTAACTCCAGAACCATCTCACCAGTCCCATTATAGACTCTAGTCCCACTCAGAAACTTTGAAGGTAGATTATCTATCTCCCAAAACTTTTCTAACCTTGGTTGTTTTTCTTTCAACCCTCAGAGCCCAGACAGAGTCTCCCTGCATCTGCTCTGCAGAGTGGACTCAGGTTTCTGTGGTCCGGCTTCAGCTGTCAGGGGCTCATGGGTAACTTCAGACCCACAGAATCACCTGGTCTGTTTCTAAAACATTTACTTGATAAATACCAGGTCTCCGAGGCGACATAGATCCACATCTCCTTCCCCTTCTCGACTGAAAGAAAGAAGAGACGAGGAGAAGAAAGAAACTAAAGAAACAAAGAGCAAAGAACGTCAGATTACTGGTAATGATGCTGGATAAACAGACTTGTTTACATAGTTTCAGTCATGTGAAAAGTATAAATTTGGCTGGGCAGTGCTGATGCATACCTTTAATCCCAGCACTTGGGAAGCAGAGGCAGGTAGATCTCTTGACTTTGAGGCCAGCCTGGTCTACAGAGTGAGTTCCAGGACAGCCAGGGATACATAGTGAAATCCTGTCTCCAAAAAAAAAAAAAAAAAAATGAACATGTAAATATTAACCTCTTATAGGGTTCATTTTGTGAATTTTTCTTGATAGATTTACCTTTTATTTGTTCAAAGTGAAATGTCTGCAAATCTGTTGCTACTCTTTCCCTTTGTACATATGTATATATCTGTGCATCCACATATATAATAAGACTTCAAAAACTCATTTATTTTTGCAGAGGAAGATTTGGAGGGTAAAACAGAGGAAGAAATAGAAATGATGAAATTAATGGGATTTGCCTCCTTTGACTCCACAAAAGTAAGTAAAAGATGGAACCAGTTGCATGTTCTAGGTTGTTTGTCCCTTACACCTGTCATCGCTTTCCAGAGTCTTTTGCTGTCACTAACACCTTCCACAGTCACACCCTATCTTGTTGTAGACAGTTTTTGAGAGGGTTGAACACACACAGGAAGTGCTAAAGTCCAGTACGTTCAGGGAATCTGCAGCCCAGAGGATGTCGATTTTTAAGGGCAGGCAGTGGTGAGGCAGAGAAGGAGCAAACTTGAAGTAGAGTGCTGTTCAAGTGAGTATGAGGCAGGTACAGTGCAGTGCAGTGACCAGTAACTGCTAGTGACTGTCTGGGGCAAAATCAGAGGGTGGTTGTGCCCTTAGCCATGTTGGGGGATTAGAACCTATAGATGTTTTACATTTTTACTCTTTTTCACCAGGGTTTCACTGTGTAGCACAGGCTGGCCTTAAACTTGAAATCCTCCAGATCCTCCTGCCTTAGTCACCTGAGTGCTGGGATTAAGAAGCAAGGATTTTAGTCCACAATCACAGGGAAGATATCACTTAGCCCAAGCTGGCCTCAATCTTGTTACCTAGCCAAGTAAGTAAGACCTTGAACTTCTGACTCTCTTTCCTCTACATCCCAAGTGATGAGATTTATAGACAGGCACCACAATGCCCAATTTGTGTGGGTTGATAGACATCTGAGCTGGTTCTGTTTCCTGGCTACTGTGAATAGTGTAGCCACAGACATAGATGCATTAGTATCTCAGTGATGGGAGGAACTTAGAATTTATTGCCCAGGAGTGGCATATTTTTAGTTGTTTGAGAAGCCTCCATACAGGATTCCGTATTACCTACCAGTTTACACTCCCACTAGTAGTGAGGAAAGGTTCCTTTTGCCCATATTCTTGGCAGTATTGGTTGTTGTTTGTTTTATTTATTTTTTAATCAATTTGTTTTGTTTTGTTTTGTTTTGTTTTGTTTGAATGTTTATAAGTGTCTTGACTATGGGTGTGTACTTGTACTACAAGCATACCTGGTTCCTGAAGATGCTAAAAGTACATGTCAGATCCCCTGGACTGTTGGTATCTGCCATGTTGGTGCTGGGAACTAAACGTGGATCCTCTGGAAGAGCAGTAAATGCTCTTAACTGCTAATTCAACTCCCAGTCCCTGTCATTTGGTTTTTGATAATAGTTATTCTGACTAGGGTAAGATGAAGTAGTTTTAATTTACATTTCTCTGATAATTAGAGATAAATGTTTATTGGCCATTTGTGTTTTTCCTCTTGGGAATTGTCTTCAGTTCATTAGTTCATTTATTGACTGACAAGGTTTTTTCCTTTCATGTTTGGTGTTAACTGTTGCAGTCCTGTGTATACTGTTGATGTGAGTACCCTGCTTCATGTGTAGCTGTATGGATTCGTGTTTCTCCGCTCTGTAGACTTTCTCCTCAGCCTGCTGATAGCTTCCTCTACCGCAGAGCTTTCTAACATGTATCCCCATCTGCCAGTGTCTTGAATTATTTTCTGTGCTGCTAGACTCCTTTTTGGACTTCTCTTCCTGTAACTGTATCTTGAAACATTTTCCTCTCTACGCACTTGTTCTTGCAGTGGTTGTGTAAACCCCATTTTGGAATTTAACACTATTAAGGTCTCAGCTTTTTGTCTTTGAATATCCCAAATCCTCTTATCTGTGTTAGTATTGTTGATTGAGACAGTCATGGCACTAGTGCTTCAACCTCCCTAGTGCTAGAAATCTGGGTGTGCAGTATCTTCTTTCTTTTATTCAGAGTATTTTATAATATGGATTATTAATCATTATTAATGTGCATCTAACAAATAACAGTACCTACAGAATGAATTAATTATAGTTTCTTGTTTTTAGAATAGTAGCAAAGAGCTTGGTTTTTGGTCTTTTTATTGCCTGGTTCATATTTGTAATTCCTGAGGATTTTAAAGGTCTCAAGACACTGGCTTACTGTAATTAGAAAAGGTTTGCTTGTAAAGGAGACATTAAGTAAGTACTCTTAGATGCTACAAAGTGCAGTGTAGCATAATATGAGAGCAGCTGGGGTCAGGGCTCTTCTCTGGTCTGCGTGATAGGTCATTTATGCACCACTGAGCCACAGACCAGCCATACATAGTTATTTTCTAATGACCCCACATAGTTGTTAATTTAGTTTATGTGCAATTGGCTTCTTATCTATCAGTTTAATTCTCTTGGCTCATTCACTTTCCTTTCTATTAAACATTCATAGTTTCCTTGTTTTTACTAATGGATAATTTTCTCATACATGTAATGTATGAGAATAAAGCTAGTAATATGCAGCTCTCTGAAAGCTTGCAAACAATGAGTAAGCCTCTGGAGATTGGACTCAGTGAGAAGGTCAGCATAGTGTTCATTTGCAAGGCTAATCTTTCCAGACCCTGTCTACTGCCTGTTCCTGGGAGCTCAAGTGATAACACCCTCAATAGTTGGATCCTCCCTGGAAATTTAAATAAAAATGGAAGTAGAAAATTAAGTCCAAATTGGGGCTTAGGAGATGGCTCAGTTGACAAAATGCAGACTCTGCAAGTATAAGGACTTGAGTTTGGATTCCCAGAACCTACGAGAGAAAAGCCAGTTTCAGTGGTGCACATCTGTAACCTCCCAAGTGGGATGAGAACAAACAAATGGATAGATAGATAGATGCCTGGATCTTTTTGGCCAGCCACAGTAGCTGAACTCATTAGTTCCTAAGAGAGGTCCTATCTCAAGTAAGGTGAAGGACTGGTGAGATGGCTCAGTGGTATGTGTGCTTGTGAACAACATGCACAATAAAAGTAAGTGTAAAAAATTTTAAAGGCCAGGTATAGTGGTGCACGCTTTTAATCCCAGCACTACAGAGGCAGAGGCAGGTGGATCTCTGTGAGTTAGAGGCCAGCCTGGTCTACAGAGTTCCAGGGCAGCCAAGACTGTTACACAGAGAAACTCTGTCTCAAAAAACCAAAACAAAAAAAAAATTTTTTTAAAAGGTTGAGAGCACTTCAAGAAGACACCTAACATAGGCCTCTGGCCTCTACGTGAATGCACAAACACATATTTCCATGTATACCCACATGAACATGCACACACACACACAATACCACACACAAAAAGGAGGAAAGAAAACTGATCGAAAATATTTGTCTTAGCTCCATTTCTAATGTGTGGACTCACCTGTACACACCTTCAGTGGTAGGATCCTTGGTTTTACACTGATGCACTGTGCAGTGATGTTCCACACCAGTAAGCCATATTCCTAATAGAAGAGGGTTGAAATTGTTCCAGCGTGTTTTGTTGCAGTGGTTAGTGACTTTCATCGAGCTGTCCTTTTTCTAGACTTCTGAAAGTACAGTAGCCTAGGCCCTGAGAGCTGCAGCCTCCAGCCAGATGAGGTGGCACATGCCTATAATCCTTAGCACTTGAATAGAGGAATCAAAAAGTTCAGGTCATCCTCATTTACATATTGAGACTGGCCTGGGCAGCCGGAGTCCATCTCTAAACTAACAGACAATAAAAAGCATCCTGTGGTTTCAGGAGAATGAGCACAGTATCGAAGGGTAACACACATGGTGCCTCAGGGAAGGCACAGATGGCATTGTTACTATTCAGGAATTAGAAAAGACAGTGGTGCTGTCAGCAGCTGGGTCATTTGAATTAGGCTTGACCAGTGGACAGCTCCCAGATAGCTAAAGGCTGGATGGGGGCAGGGAAGGCGATTCAGACACGAGGAATGGACCACAGTGAGAAGTGAAATGTACATTTGGAAAAGCCAATAGCACCAGCTCAGCTTGTACCTGCTCCAAGTTCCAGTTCCTGATGTAAATGTCAGAGAGTCAGTCTTCTGAGCAAGAGATGGAAATTGAACATGTAGAAAATTGTCCCAGCTTGATTTGAGAATATTACGAGCCAAGTATGTGAATATGAGAACTTTTATCTCATTTCAAAAGATTATTTTTTTTTCATTTTAATGTTTATGTGCATTGGATCCCCTAGAACTATAGTTATAGACAGTTGTGAGCTGCCATGTGGGTACTGGGAATTGAACCTGGGTCTTTTGGAAGAGCAGCCAGTGTTCTTAACCACTTCGCCATCTCTCTAGCCCCTCAAAAGATTCTTTGAAGGAAGTTAGAATCTGCTTCTGTTTTCCAGCATGCCTGGTACATCACGTGAAAACTGAATGCTTATTGTTTTTGTTTGTTTTGTGGTGCTGAGGATTGTGCATGCTAGGCAGGTGCACTACCACTAAGTATATCCCAGGCCCCACGTGTCTGGTGTTTTGATTCCTGTATTGATGCTTAGATGTGAGCAGAGTTGTAACACTTGAGAGTTCATGGGTTGTCCTCTAGGGCTCTCTGTTCTTCATTGGACCTTTCCCTTGAATGGTTCTTGTCTATCAAAATGTCCTGCAGGACTCCCCCTCTGTGATCCAGGTTTTTAATATGGCCTGTGTGTTTCTCTGCAGGGGAAGAAGGTGGATGGCTCTGTAAATGCCTATGCCATAAATGTGTCTCAGAAGAGGAAGTACAGGTATGCATGGCCCCTGTGCCGTGTTTGCACTTGACTTCAAATTAGTTTCATATTTGGAAGAGAATTTTGTTACAGGTTAATTGTGTATGTTTAGGAAATATTGAAATTTTCTATACTGTTTGCAGTATGTGTGCTTGCTTGCTCACTTGGGGTGGGGGGGTGGGGGGGTGGTAAGGTGTGGTGTGTGTGTGTGTGTCCCCATTTTTTGAGATACAGTTAAAGAAAACCATGACCTAATACTTGGGCCTCCACCGCCCAAATGTTGGGATTGCAAGCTTGTGACACCAACACTGGGCCCTGTGAAATATACTGTCTTTGTTGTTTAGATTCCGATGTATTAAATTTCCTTCTCGTGTACATGTAAGCAAGTAGCTCTGCCGTTATTGCCTTGAGACGAGTTCTCTGAACCAGAAGCTCATAGTTCTGGCTAGTGGGTTGGTGAGCTCCCTCTGTTCTCCCACTGCTGGCGTTATAGACACACACAGCCATGCCTAGCTTTTTTCATTTCTCATGCTTGGAAGTCAAATGCTGTTATCCACTAAACTGTCCCTCAGCCCTGCTTTTGAGAACAGGGTCCCTATGTATCCCAGGCTGAGCTTGAACTTGCAATCCTTGTACCTCCACCCTTACAGTACTGATGACTATAGGCGCAAACCATCACACCCAGTTGAAACATTTTAAAAGGTGTTGTTAGTTTGAATTCTTCAAGTATGTTTTTATGTTTTTAAAATAACAGTCCCAAATTTTTAAAAAATATATTTCTCTTTTTATCATAGGCAGTACATGAATCGAAAAGGCGGATTCAACAGACCTCTGGATTTTATTGCATGAGACTTGAGGTGTTGGAGGATTTCCTCCCCCTTCATCTGGGTCAGAGAGTATTTTATATTTTGTATTTAATACACCTCAAAACAGGATCTTGGTTCTTCCTTCTTATAAAGTAAGAAAGTCTTATTTATGACACCCAGTGTACTTACTTTCATCAGGAGGTAGGTGACACTTTTTAAGGCGGTGTCCCTGCGGTGGGTGCAGCCCATTTGTCTTATTCCTTTGAACCTGTGTGTGCTTTCTTCTTGGATGCTTTTTAGTTCTTAAAAACTTAAAGTAACTTAGATGTGAGTTTCTCCAATAAAACAGTATTTCTACCCATTTTATACTTGCTTGACAAATATGTTTATTACTAGATTAAAGAGTCTCCCTAGACATTTTCTTTTTCCACACAAAATTTCTTTTGTTTTTGGGACAAGGTCTTGTTATATAATCCAGGCTAGCCTTGGAATTGGGATGGCCCCTCTGCATCCATATCTTTGTCGCTGGGATTATAGATATGTCACCATGCCAGCTTAGATTTAGCTATCTTGACTTTTGATGGTTTAAAAACCAGAAGAAGGAAAAAGGATAGTTTTGGATTTTTGTATATTCTTCATTTCTCCCCAAAATGTCATTTACTGTGTTCCCTCAGTAACAAAAAGCAACAAGTTTGCTATAAAAATACGTAGGAGAACCAGACAGCAAAAAACCAAAACTCCCCTGCAATCTACTCCAGAAACATCTGTTGTGTGTCATTTCATGCTCCTATGGAAATGTATTTCTTCACCCATGAAATAATATGTAAAATGTGCATATAGAGGCTGGGTGGTGGTGGCGAGCGCCTTTAATCCCAGCACTCAGGAGGCAGACGCAGGCAGATCTCAGTGAGTTCGAGACCTGGTCTGTAAGAGCTAGTTCCAGGACAGCCTCCAAAGTGACACAGAGAAACCCTGTCTCGAAAAACAAACAAAAAAGTACATATAGCCCTCTCCAACCCTTGCCCCATTTGCTGTGAATATTTTTACGCTCATATTGTTTAGCGATAACAGCATCCTGTGGCTTTTTAGTTGTACCATAATTGATCAGCTTTTTTTGATACCTTGAGAAAAATATCTAGTAGCAGGTTGCATGTCCACTTAGAGACAACTCGTAAGTGCATAAGCATGTGTTTATATGTGTCTGCTTCAAATGGAAATTGGCTTGTCTCTGCTTTTAGCAAAGTCTTCATTTGACAGCTCATGAAAAGTCCTCTGTTTTATTGCAGATGAACTGTGGTTATTCCAACCCCTATAATGTTAACATTCAGACTATTTCTAATCTTTTGCAGTTGAAACAGTTCTGCAATTCTGCTTGTGTCTCATGATTTTGTGTTTCTTTGGCTGTATCTTTAGTGTCTTTATTAATTTTTTGGTTAGCATATAGAGTAATGAGTCTTGGGCATTTTCATGGTATATTTCATTCTGCTTTTTTTTGTGGGATTCCTAGGCTTTTAATATATTCATAAAATCAAAAAAAGAGAAATGGGTTAATTTAAATTATAAGTGCTAGTTGGCCTAAGCTAGGGCCAAGCTTTTTTTTTTAATTTTTTTTATTTAGAGAATACTTTATTAGTTTTTGTAATCAAACCCACATAGATAAGACCTTACATATTTAATACAGTGTGTTACCTCTGTACAAATGGAAAAAATTAAGTTCAACATTTCTATACTAATATGGCTGTTAATTTCTGTACAATGCCAACTCAATACGGTAAACTGGGATACTTTTTTCCAAAGTTGACAGCACAGCTAAATTCATTCTGCTTTTTAAAATTCACTCTCCCCATGTCTGGCTCTTCCTGCTGGTTTCTTTCCTTCCCCAAGTAGACCTCCCTCTGCTATCATGTGATGCATATTCCAGTGCCTTCTTTTCTTTCTTCCACTTTCTCAAGAGCTCTTCCTCCCCTTTTGAGGTCCATTTTATACATTCATGACCTCAGACACATGTATGTAAACATGTACTTACATTTAAATCTAGATTTCACGTATAAGAAAAAACGTGGTATTTGTATTAGTCTATCTTATTTCACTATGCATCTTGATCTCCATTTCCATTTTGTTAGATTTCTAAATTTGGGAGGGAAGTATGGTCAGGGCCTTTTCCTGCTGTCTTCCAGGGGCACACTTTGTTGTAAGATCTTCTGTTTCCAAATATCTGTGTGTTGGCATGCCCAGGACTTTGTCCTTTGACCCTGTACCTGTACTCCATGTGGCTTTAAATGTCTGCCACATGGCCTTGGGTATGTATGTATGCCAGGTTGGACCTCCACTAAGCTGAAACCTTGCTTGTGCCTATAGCATCAGGCACCTTGCAGATGAAGCTGAACTGAGGCCTTGCTTCCCTGCTGCACTCTTCCCTGAGACTCCTCTATTTTAGTTAATAGTCATTTCATTCATTCCTTCATTCACACACGTTTTGGGGTCATCCTTGTGCCCTGTATATGATTGAATGGAAAATCCCTTTGAAATGTGTTTGGCCACTGCTTACCACCAACACCAATCCAGGCCCACACTCTTGCCTGGAGTACTGCAGTAGCTCCAGACAGGTCCCCTCTTTCTGCTCTTGCTGCCTCTTTACTCTCCACCCTACAGCAAAAATCCTGCAGGCTCCTCCTGGTTTTGGTAATTTTTTTTTTTTTTAAGATTTTATTTATAGCCGGGCAGTGGTGGCGCATGCCTTTAATCCCAGCACTCAGGAGGCAGAGGCAGGGGGGGCTCTGTGAGAGTGAGACCAGCCTGGGCCACAAGAGCTAGTTCCAGGACAGCCTCCAAAGCCACAGAAAAACCCTGTCTCGAAAAACCAAAAAAAAAAAAAAAAAGATTTTATTTATTATGTATACAGCATGCTGCTTCCATGTATATCTGCAGGCCAGAAGAGGGCACCAGATCTCATAACGGATGGTTGTGAGCCACCATGTGGTTGCTGGGAATTGAACTCAGGACCTCTGGAAGAGCAGTCAGTGCTCTTAACCTCTGAGCCATCTCTCCAGCCCTTTGGTGATTATTAAAATAAAGTCCATTTTACTGCAGTCTCAGGCTCCTATGTGATCTGTACCCCCACCATAGCTCACTTCACTTGGCCACATCTGCTTTGCTCATTGCTCTTCTCTGAAGCCAGCCATGTGCCTGCCTAGTCTTCCCACTTTCTTTTTCTTCCTCTGGAGTGTTCCCTCTCCTAGATGTGTTCATGTCCCTTCTCTGTTGGAATAAGATTCATAGACCATGAAACATACTCTTTTAAAGTTAACAGTAGTTTCAGCATGTTCGGTTCGGCAGGCATCCAACTTCACATATAGTCTTTCATCGTCCCTCAAAGAAACCTTGAATTCCCTTAATACTCTGTCAGCTCTTAATGCTTCCACAACTCACCAGCGTGTGCCATGTCTAGATATGCGCCTGTTGTGGGTGTTTCGTATAAATGGAACCTCATATGGTTTTGTCTGGCTGCTTTTGATTGGCATCATCCACACCATGGCCTGTATTAGTGTCACCTTCCTTTTTACAGCTAATACTTCATTCTGAGGTCATACCATGTTTTTGTTTATAATTCAGCAACAGAAGATGGGCATTTAGGTTGCCTTTACTTTTTTGCATAGTATTCCATGGACACTAGTATACTTTTGTATGAACACATTGATATTTTATTTATTTTTTGAGACAGGGTCTTTCTCTATGTAGGCCTGGCAGTCCTAGAACTGGAACTCAGAGAGATCTGCCTGCCTCTGCCTCCCCAGTGTTGGAATTAAAGGCAGGTACCGCTGCACCCACTACAATAAACACATTTTTATTCTCAATTCCCTGGCCTGTCTATGTAGAAGTAAAATTACTGAGTCATATAGTGACTTGTTTAAGTATTTTCATTCCCTTGCAGAGTAGGAGGGTGCTACCCCTGCTCTCCAAGCTTGCCTCTACTTATCTTCACAGCACTTAGTACAAGCTAATTCCCTCTGCTTTCACCAACTGGCCCTTCCATTCTGAGAAATGGGCCTTGCCTTGTTTGCTGACATGGCCCCAGTCCCTTGGAGTGCCTGGTTCCTCTTGAATTGGAAAGTGGTGCTGTCAGCTTTCACACTGAGCAACCTCTGATGTTTGTTTAAACCATATAGTATTTGGTTTTGGAAAGTATTTAAGACATTAACTTAAGTAGGACTGATTCCCTTTTTTAAAGTTACTGGTTTTTAAATTGTATTTATGTATATATTCCTGCTTGTCTGTTTGTGCACCACATGCATGCAGAGACCAGAAGAGGTCATCAGATGAACTAGAATGGAGTTACAGGTGGTTGTGAGCCACCAGATGTTGGTGCTGGGAGCCCAACCCAGATCCTGTGCAAGAGCAGCAGGTGCTCTTAGCCACCGAGCCTGCTCTTCAGCCCTGCATTCCTTTCTCATAGAAGTCACTGTTGCCTGCCCCAGTCCTGAGTTCTGGAATTACAGATGTGCTATGTCATAACCTGCTTGCTTGCTCACTTTCTCTCTCTCTCTCTCTCCTCCTCCCTTCCTTCCTTCCTTTCTTTTTTTTTAAACAAATAACATGTAGAGATAATTTTACAACTGAATTAACATGGAACCCTGTAGAGCTTTCTGTGCCTTTGTAAATTTCACCCTCCTTTAGAGGACCCCCTCCCCTCCGCTGCCCTCCTCTGTGTGCTGTGCAATATGGATTACATATGGCTGTCTATACATGCGTGTGTGTGTGTGTGTGTGTGTGTGTGTGTGTGTGTTTCTGTTTTAGAAGCTTTGAAGATTCTCATGTCATGATGAGGGAAGCCATGACATTGAAGTGTTCAAAGAGACTGCAAAGAAGAGGTTGATACTAAAGCAGCAATGTCCTGTTTGGATATTTGCTACTTCAAAAAATGAAAATAATTTCTCAAAAGCTTAGAAGATAAAATTCATCTCATAGTGGTTTTGTAAACTTGGTTGTGAAGAAGGTTTTAATTCCCACAGCCTTAGGCCTTTCAGACATTTTGAGGGCTGTGGGCATCAAGTTCTGAGGTGCTTACCAGAGCAGCCTCTTGGTCAGATGTGACAGTATGAGATGAGCTCAGCATTGGCAGCAACCTTGCACCCAGCTGGGACCGTGGGAAGAAAAGCCCCTAGACAGTAGGGACTAAAAGACTAGACAAAGGTTGTCTGATAACCATGCCATATGTTTTTATATTTCTCCATTTTAATTACTCAGTTCTTAGTTTTATCTTGCATGTTACAAAGCGTCTTCCTTATGTTATCACATGTAGCTTTTTTTATTAAAATTCTTGCCATAAAGCTGGGACTCAAGCATTTTAAAACTCTCATATGTTTGGGAGGCAAGGCTTTGTCTACCTGTCAGTTCCTGCTTATATAGCCACAGAGGCTGTGGGTTTGGGGTTGTAGGGGAAGTACTTAAAGCTGGAGCACCCTTTGTTGTCCACTTACTGCTTCGCTGCCAGCAGATGGCACCAGATGGCCTGGTCTTCTGGATGTCAAGTCCTAGTTAGTGTCATTAATCCTTTTCTTCCATCACCAGGAAGGAAATTGCTGTATTCCTTAGTCTTACTCTCTGGTGTTTATGTAATTGGGTATTTTTGTTTGGAGTTGAATTTAGACTTGTCGGTGCTTAAATTACTTGCTTTATTTGCCCTTTCTGGCTTGGGTTTCAAACCCTGACCACCCTTTTAAAAAGAAATGTGTGGCTTTTCATTTGGAGTAATTGTAGGGGAAGAATTATGATCCTGAAATAGGACTGGGTTGAAACAAATTGTTGAGATCAAAGGAGAAAGACTGAAAAGATGTCAGATATTCTGTGAAACTTGGGAGGAACCAAAAAAGTGCAAAACCCAAGATGTTAAAATGGCCAAAACAGACTATTTTTAGGAATATTAAATTGGTTAATTTAATAGTTGCTTACATTACCTTCGTCTTTAAATTTTAACAAACAGCATACAATTTTAAAATGTTCCAAATTGTTCTTTACCACATTCTCATTTTTAAGTTCTGTGCCTTCATGGAAAACTGCGTTTAGTGTGTGTGTCTGCAGCATATAGTCCTTGATTGGATCCTTGCACATACCAGGCGATGTGGTGTGTTACCCACAGTTTGAATTGTGTTCTGTGACTGTCTGCAATCCTGTATCTGCCGTGGGTTTTTTGTTTGTTTGTTTGTTTTTTGTTTTTGTACAACTGCAAATCAGACGGTTGCGGGGCCACTTGTGAGTGAGATGGCAGGGGTTCAGGTCTTTCTGCAAGCTAAGGAAGAACAGGAAAAGTTATTTGTCTCTGAGCCTCTTTCTTCTTGTGCAAAATGTAGGCAAGCATGAAAACCCCTCGGGTTGTCCTGAGGGATGGAAACCGTGTAGGTAGGTTACCTGACCTGTATGTACAAAGAAAGCTAACTGCATACTGACAGCACTAATAGGTTTTATTTAAAAATCCCCTGCTCGTTTCATTTTTCAGACTTCTTACCCTGTTGTTTTATTCCTGTCGTTTAAGTTGGAGATGTCGACATTGCACTTTAGGTCTCGAATAAGCTCTCAAAAATCGTGATTGCTCAAGGACCTGTGTTTACAGAGTGAGCTTTCCAGTGGGTACCTGTGGAACACAGGCCGCGGTTTGTGGTCTTGGGAGAGGCCTGCTCAGGAGTGGTTTCCTCTGGGATGGAAGCGGGGGCCTCGGGTTCAGCCTTACTCTGCAGGCACCCGGCCACTCCGTGCAAGCGTAGTCTGGGGGAGCCGACCATTTCCCCCTAACCCTGGGGTGGGAGCTACGTGTGACCATCTGTCCCAGGTCGCCAGCGAGGCCTGAAGTTCTCCCCAGAGACAGTGGGCAACAGGTCTGCGGCCAGTGGGCGGAGCTCCGCCCGTGCCCTCCTGCCTCGTAGCCAATCAGCGGCTCCAAAGTGGGCCACCGCTTGGCAGAGTGGTGACGTCATCGTATCCGGGAGGTTTCTGAGGCCTTGGCCAATGAGGCGCGGGTGCAGCAGCAGTCTCTGTACTGGGGTTGCCCAATGACCGCAGAGCCCATGGGGGCCCGGCCGTCGGCATCAGCCAATGGGAGGCAGGCAGGAGCACGAGGCGGAGTTGCGAGT